GCGGCAGAGGGCGTGGCTGAGCGGTCTCTGAGCCGAGGCTGGGCAGCTGTGGGCTGGGCACTCTGCTCAGGGGCTGGCTGCCAGCCTGGACAGTGGAGGACAGGAAAGGAGAGGCTTGGTGGAAAAAGGGCCTCCCTGGCCCAGTATCTCCTCCTTGGCCAGGCCTCCAAATCCACTAATCCCTCAGGCCCCAGGCAGCCTCCCCTGAGGCCTGGGGGCCTGATGGCCTACGTGACCCATCTCTATGCCCAGTGGCAGGCAGGAAGCCCAGAACGGACGGCCCCCTCCCTGCCTGGGCTCAGCCAGCAGGGAAAAAGGGCTTCACTGCAGGACCAGGGTGCCTGCCCACCCTGGCTCTGCCCACCTGGCCCTGCCACTGGTGGGCCTGAATCCCACTGGACTGAGTGACCGCCTGCCACAGCCGGGGGTGAAGCTGGTCACAAGATAAGGACTCCGGCCGCCCTTCCCCTCTGCTCTGCGCTCTGTGGCCAGCCCCAGCTCGCCTCCCTCTGCTCCCTGAGGAGGCAGTTTTGGCCACCAGCCACTGCCCAGGGAGCCCCAACAGCCTGGGAGGCTCCTGGCTCCCCTCTTACCTCTGAAGGGCAGGTGGGGTGCCAGTGGGAGCCATCTTCCTCGTAGCCCCCAAATAAAAATGGCTGCCCATCTGCGCTAATGACCTCCAGCACCCGTCCTGCGCCCCCCGCAGCGGGCACGCAGGGACCCCTGCGGGCCTGGTGTGTGGGCATCACAAGTGCCACTAGAATGCCGGTGATCCACACTCTCTGCCCATATCCCTCCCAAGAGCCAACAGAAGAGGCACAGGAAGCCTGCCACCGCGGGCCACAAGCCCAGGCCACTGCGTGGACCCCAGAGACAGAGCAACTGTCGCATTTACTCTAATAGTTGGGCACCAAAAGCCTCACCGGCCCAAAGGCGCTATAGGTCCCTCTCGCCGTATTTACTCCAACAGGTGGCACACGGATCAATCCCAGTGCCTTGCCAAGGGGCTGACACATGCCCCCCACACACTGAGTGGAAGGGACCCATGGGTGCTTCCCACACTGGGTCCAGGAGCCCAGGGGTCAGCCGGCCCTCCTGGGAGCACCGCCTGTGGTGGACCAAACTTCTGTATCAAGGAGACCAAAGGAAGGCAGCTCCACGCAGGCCCAGGGGCAGCCTGGCCAGCAGCCTGCAAGACGGGTATCCCCTGAATCCTGTTCATTTAAGCTTTGTAAGTGGTCACTGTTGAACCTTAACTCCCCCTTTCGTCTGGACTCAGGCCAGCCAGACTGAGAAGTGACAGTTGTCGGCACAGGCCGCTTGCACCCACCAAGGTCATGTGTCCCCTGAGCTCAGGCCGCTCAGCAGCCCCATTCCCAGTTCAGAAATGACCAGAGCCAGTTCTCCAACCCCCTCCTCCACGAAGCACAGACGGGATTGGGGAGGAGGCTGGGCCAGCTGATCTCAATCCACCACCTCTACGGCTTTCCCTGACAGCCCCACACAGGCTTAGAGTCTGGGGCTGGAACCCTCAGACCAGAGGAGGCTGTGGAGCAGAGCACCTAGGGCCTTGTAGTCATGGTGAACGATGAAGGGCTACACACACACCCACACACACATTTCTGTGGTACTGGAATGGAACCCAGGACCTCACAGAGTCTAGGCACAAGTCCCACCACCGAGCCACACTCCCAATTGGGTTTGCATTTTGTAGACCAGGTGTCTGCTGACTGGGGAAAGGTTAGGTGGGGCTGGATGGCAGCCTGTGCAAATGCCCTGCTCCACACCAGAGCTGGGCAGGGAGAAGGCAGAGAGGCCCAGTCTGCAGGGAGGCCAGGCTTGAGGTTAGCATTGCAAGAGAGGCAAAGCATTTGCTCTCAGTCTGGGCGGCCCTGAAATGTGCCTCAAGGGCCCTCTGGGTGTCAGCACGGCTCCCGTCCTGAGTAACAGGGCCGGGCTCTGACTGGTTTGGTGGCTTGCTGGCCTTGGTAAGGCTCCATTGGCCAGCGGCCGGGCTGGATGACCCCTGAGCCTCCCAATGGATCAGGAGTCAAGTTCCCCGCTCATCCCAGGAGCCAGTGCTACTGTCCCAGGGGTCCCCAGGAAAATCCAGCCAGTCCCACATTCTGAGTTTGGGGCTGGGAAGGTGGCTCAGTGGTACAGCGCTTGCCTTGCATGCCTTGAGGCCCTGGGTTCAATTCCTCAGTACCACGTAAGCAAAAAAGAAAAGAACCAGAAGTGGCGCTGTGGCTCAAGTGCTAGCCTTGAGCTGAAGAGCTGAGGGACAGCGCCCAGGCCCAGAGTTCAGGCCCCACGACCGGACCCCCCCCCCAAAAAAAAAACAAACACATTCTGAGTTTGTTGTTGTTGTTCAAGGCTGATGTTTTACCACTTGAACCACAGCTCCACTTCCAGCTTTTCACTGGTTAATTGGAGACAAAAGTCTCACGGACTTTCCTGCCTGGTTGGCATCAAAAGGTGATCCTCGGATCTCAGCTAGGATTACAGGTGTGTGCCACTGGCACCTTGTGAATCACACACATCTTGATATCATAAAACTCGCAGCTAACACGGTAGTCAAAGAACTCCAAGCTGAGGGCCACTCTACTTTTCTGTTCCCTCCATGGCATCACAAGTTCAACCCGGAGGCCACAGGCGGTGCCCACTCCCCTCAGCTCTGCCCCAGCACAACACAACCTCCTGCCCACTGCATGCCTCCGGGGCTTTGGCTTGCAACAGCTGTGCAGCTGAGAGCGCCTTCCGAAGTCCAAGTCCTCCACGCGCGACCCTCCCCTCCCCGCCCCGCCCCCAGGTACTTGCCATGACGCCCAGCCCGGGGCCACCACCCCCTTCAAGTCCTCAGAGGTCCCAGATGCCCTTTGTGGCAGCCACCAGTGCGCCAGGGCAGGTGCGTCAGCTGCCCGTCAGGATGCCAGGGCTCCGGCCTGCACCTCCCAACACCCAAGGGGGCTCCCCTGGGTCCCGGGTGGACCCTGCGAGCAGCACTCAGGCTGTTCCATCACCTTCTGGTGTGGTGTGTCCTGGGTCTTGTCCCCTCTGTGCTGGACTTTTGGCTGCACTGAGAACCCAAACTTCCATCTCTCAGATAAAGAGTGGGCATGGGAGGCGTCACTGGGTCCGCTCTCAACCGCGTGCCCTGTGTGGCACAAGGCTCGGTGATGGGGTTCACGGAGGGCACACATTCCCAAAACACAGCTGCCAGAGAGGACACGGGCCGACCCTTCAGACCCCCGGCTTCAGGAGAGAGAGAGACATTCTCTCCCTGGAGAAGACAATTAAGTGGGGGAGGGGACTGGGGGGTTGAGTGTGGTGTCCATCTGCCAAGAGCCTATGGCGGCAACTTTAGACTTGGTCTATTCCGGGCCCACTTTGGGCCCGTGGAGTGAACCTCTGATATTCGGGGTGTATTAGCAGGGTTCGGCCTCAGAGCAGCTGTCCCCCGACCCCAGGCCCAGGGCTGCGGTCAGGGATCCTGGCCCAGCCCATCAGCTGCTGCTTCGTCATCTTCTCTAAACACAGCCTGTCAAGACAGACCAGACAGACGCTGGAGCTCGGCGCTCGCCTCCTTGGCACTGAAGCCTGTGTTAAAGCGCCTGCCGCCCTGCCCCGCACACGTGCGTGCAGGCAGACAATGGATCTGTAGGTCCCCAGCCCAGGCCTGAGGGGGAAGAGCCAGCTGCCTTTGCCTGGTCGCCAGGCCATCTTCGATCCTGCTACCTGCAAAGCCCACCTGGCTCTTCTCCCTCCCCAGCAAGCGCGCGCAGGGATCAGCAAGGCCCCAGAGTAACAAGGAAGCGGGACAAGGAAGCGGGGGCAAACATGGCAGACAGATGTCAAGAACAGACACGGAGAGGAGGACCTGGAGCCACCGGGAGCAGACAGACCAAACACATAGCATCCAAGCCCAAGGCCAGGCCGGCGTCTCTGGGCCCTTGCGCCTCTGGCCTGCGAAGCTGCCTCCTGGGGCTCACACACACATTCGCATTACGTATTTGGTAGACAGCGCATCAAGGTGAGACCCCACCCCCTCCCCCAGCCTAAGAAGAGGAATTCATTGGCCACTTTAGCAAGACATCCGGTGGACAAGGGTGGAGAAGACCTCCTTGCCATGGGGGGTGGGGGCAGCCCTAACTAGCCAACTTCTGACAGAAGACCAGTGGGCTGGCTGGTGGGGGGGAGGGGAGGTAGAGGTAGAAAGTACTAGAACCTGTGTCTAGGGGGCGGAGGGGGCGGCCTCCCCTGGCATATCCCACCTCGAGCATACACACAGGACTTGGCCACTCAAGCCTCCCACAATGCCCGGCGCTCCCTCCTTCCCTAGAAGGTCAGGCGGGAGGCAGGCTGTGGGCAGCCTCGGCCCCGGCAAGCCGCTGTGTGGCCCTAGGCAGGGCGCGGGGGAGCCACGACTCCAGCGGGGCCTCAGACCCGGAGGCGGCCGCTGGCCCCGCTGCCCTCCCAGCACCCCTCCGGGGTTTGGCTGGACGGGAGGAGGGACGCCTCCAACCCAGGGCCTGTGGCGGCCAGCCCCCCCCCCCCCCGCCCCCTGTCCCCTCCCCGGTCCCCCCTCCCCCGCCCCCTGTCCCCTCCCCGGTCCCCCCTCCCCCGCCCCCCTGGCCCCCCTCGGTCCCCTCTCCCCCGGCCCCCCCTCCCCCCGCCCCCCGGCCCCCCCTCTCCCCGCCCCCCGGCCCCCCCTCCCCCCGCCCCCCCCCGGCCTAGGCCCCGCCAAGCGCGGAGCCGGGCCCCGCTGCGCCCACCGCAGCCCGCCCTCCACGCCGTGGCCGGGCAGGGGTCCACGGGCTCCCCAGCCGGCTGCCCAGCCCTGTGGCCGGCTCCGGAGGCCGGCTGGACGCTCCGGCCTGCTCCGCGTCCCCTCCCCGGCCTCCCCGCCCGTCCCGTCCCCGTCCCGTCCCCGGTCGCCTCCCGGCCCCGGCCCTGTCCCCGTCCCCGTCCCCGCCCCATCCCGGCGGCCCAGTTCCTACCGCGCCGCGCCGCGTGCGTGCGCGCCCGCTCGGTGCTCGGGCTCGGTGCTCCGGGCCGGGCCGGGCCGGGCCGGGCGGGCGGCAGGAAATGCCAGAGGACCGTTCCCCCGGCGCGAGGCGGGGCTGGCGGGAGGCGGGGCCAGGGCGGGGCGGGGCCAGGGCGGGGCGGGGCCAGGGGCGGGGCTGAGGAGGGAGGCGGGGCTGGGAGGGGGAAGGGAGGAGGCGCGAGAGATCGGGACAGATCGCGGAGGGAGGAGGAGCGGCGCGCAGGAGGGAGGCGGGGCGAGGGCACGGCGGTGGGTGGGCGGGGCTAAGGACAGAGGCGCGGCGAGAGAGCGCGACGGAGCCGAAGGGGCGGAGCCGAGCCGAGGACGCGCGGGGCGGAGCCGAGGACACGGGGCGGAGCCGAAGGGCGGGGCGGAGCCGAGGACACGGGGCGGAGCCGAGGGGCGGGGCGGAGCCGAGGGGCGGGGCGGAGCCGAGGGGCGGGGCGGAGCCGAGGGGCGGGCGGAGCCGAGGGGCGGGGCGGAGCCGAAGGGCGGGCGGAGCCGGGGACACGGGGCGGAGCCGAGGGACGGGGCGGAGCCGAGGGGCGGGGCGGAGCCGGGGACACGGGGAGGAGTCGAGGGGCGGGGCGGAGCTGGGGATACGGGGCGGAGCCGAAGGGCAGGGCGGAGCCGAGGACACGGGGCGGAGGCGAGGGGCGGGCGGAGCCGAGGGGCGGGGCGGAGCCAAAGGGCGGGCGGAGCCGGGGACACGGGGCGGAGCCGAAGGGCGGGACGGAGCCGAAGGGCGGGCGGAGCCGAAGGCGGGGCGGAGCCGAGGACACGGAGCGGAGCCGAAGGGCGGGACGGAGCCGAAGGGCGGGCGGAGCCGAAGGGCGGGGCGGAGCTGAGGGGCGGGGCGGAGCCGAGGACACGGAGCGGAGCCGAAGGGCGGGGCGGAGCTGAGGGGCGGGGCGGAGCCGAGGACACGGGGCGGAGCCGAAGGGCGGGGCGGAGCCGAAGGGCGGGGCGGAGCCGAAGGGCGGGGCGGAGCCGGGGACACGGGGCGGAGCCGAAGGGCGGGGCGGAGGGAAGAGGTCCGGCCGTCGCCCAGCTAGAGCGGGTCTGGGACCGGGCGTCCGGGACCTCGCGGCGGGCCTCGCGTCCCAGCTCTGCCGATCCCGGGGCGCTGGGGGGTGGCTGGGAGTGGCTCGTGCTGAGCGCAGCGCCCCCCACGCCGTTTCTCACTCCAGGGAAGGAGAGCAGGCCACAAGGGCCCCGAGTCTGGGGCCCCCGGCCCTTCCCCTATCCACGCGCCCAAAGGGACATCCCCGAGGGCGGACCGGGCAGTGGATCGGGGCCCCCGTCCCCCGGTCCTGGGGGCGCTGGACCCCGCGGGTCCGTCCAAACCTCGAAGACCTCACTGTATTTCTAAAGGACCCCAGGAGGGAGGCCTGCCCTGCAGACACAGGCAGGACCCGCAGGCCCTTCCGCCCAGCAGGAGCAGGCCTGGCAGGGCCTCCGCCCGCCCCCAGCACCCCTGCTTACACCCCAGGCAGGCCCCCGCTCCCCGGGTTCGAGGCTTTGCGGGTGCATCTAGGGTGGCCCCTGAGCCTGGGAGGCTGTAGGGCCATGGTGCAAGGCCGTGAGGGCAAACCGAGGCGGGCTCGCTGCCCAGCCAGGCCTCTTCCAGGCCTTGAGAGTGGTAGATCCCAACTCAAAGGAGCTCTGTCCCCAGCCGGCCAACCTCTACCCCTCAGGGCCCCACCTCGGCCACCCTGACCCAGGCAGACCAGGGCTAGAGTTTGGCTTGGGGCAGAAGCACCTGCCACTGGTTGTGTGCCCAGGTCCGAGGGTTCATCAGAGGGTCCAGGCAGGTGGGTTGCTTGAACCTGCTCTTCTCTCTCACCCCCCTCCCCTTGCCAGGACCTGCCTTGTGCCCAACTAGCCCCCAAGTCACCTGGTGGCGAGGCCTTGGGATGCAGAATCTCTCAGACACGACGCCCAGAGCCATGGCAGGCTTGCTGGGTATGGGCTGTGCAGCTGGGGGGAGGGGGGTGGACCAGTCAGCTGTCTTCTTAAGAAGTCAAGAACAAAGCTGGGTGTGGCTTCCAGAAGCCTGTGCATTACTGGGGGGGGGGGAGGTCCCCCTGTAGTCCACTGGGAACCCAGAAAGAAAACAAAGCTTCTGCCTCCTGGGGCCAGGTCTCAGGGGCCAAACTTGGAAAATTGTCCTTGATGCAGGTTATAGGGGTTGGATAGCCTCAAGGAACACAGATGGCGACAGAGGTCACAAGGCATCCAGAGAGGTCACAGGGCCCCCCCTGGGGGTGGGAAAGGCCTGGCGTCTGGATGAGGTGGACCCCTCTCTGGGCTGAGACTGGCCAGCAGCAGATGAGAGCGCAGTCCCAGGCAGGCCGCGCCGCGCCGCGCCGGCAGCCAGGCTCAGACACCGTGTCAGGTGTCTTGTCAGGTGCCCAGCCCTGGCTGCTTCTTGCCTGGCTTGGGAGTGCAGGGAAGCTGCTTTGTTCTCCTAACTCCTCATTGCTCCTGTGTCCCACTGATCACCCTCCCCCGGGGGAGCCCTTCAGGTTCCCAGGAAAACTGTACCCCTGACCTTGTCTGAAAGTGCAGGACTGCCAGCGTCGACAGGACGGAAGCCTTGCAAGGAAGGCTCTCGTCCTTGAATGGATACCCCCCTCCACCCCCCCACCCCCCACCCCACCCCCCACCCCCCCCACCCCCCCACCCCTGCTCGGTCTCTGTGATCCTGCTCCCTGCTCCATGGAGCCCCCCTGCAGCTAGGACTAAAGCCTGGCCTGGCCAGCTGAGCCCTCTGCCTCCTTTCTCTCCTTCCACTCCTTGATCTTTCCTGGGACTCGTGACTCTGCTTCCTAACGGGGAGCAGCTGCATGGGACGTGGAGGTCTCTGACTCCTCCAAGTCCCACGGGAAAGCGGCTCCACCACGGGCAGCCGCGGCCTTGCTCTTTCTGGGTCTCAGCTTCCTTCCTGGAAAGTGGACACCACGTGTGTGTGTGTCCATTCGAGTCGGGACTATTCCAAGCCACATCTGGACAGAGGTTCTCAGCTGGAAGGATGCCGGTGGTAGGTGATGATGAGGACCCTCAGGCTGGGAGAAGACCCCTCTGAGCCCCCGCCTCTCCCTCTCCCTTGGCTGCCTCCCTGTGCCAGGAGCATGCCTGGACCTGTCTCAGAGAAGAGGCCTCCAAAGACCCCGTCCTCGGGGCTCCAGGCCCACTGGGTCAGTAGTAGGCAGGCGTGGCCTGCTGGGGAGAAGCCCCGGGCCAAGCCTGGGTGGGGTTCTCCCGGACTGCTGGCTCCCACAGCCACCCACACAGCACCAACGATTTATCCCCATTTTGTGGATGAGGAAACTGAGGCCCAGTCAGTAAGGGGCACGGCTGGATGTGAGCAGGACCCCCTCTCTTAAGCGACTCTTCTTTCCTGCCGGCCTCAGGGCGCCCCTGATCTGAGACCCTTACTGTAGTCCCTGACTGGAGGAAGATGGATAAGTAGGAAGATGTAACACACACATGCGCCCACGCAGAAGCAGACGTGCACACACACATACACGCGCACACACACATACACACGCGCGCGCACACACGCACACACACACACACAGATTCTTCCCTGGTGCGAGTCAAAATGCATGGGGTGTTGTGGTTTCAAAATAAATAGAACTATGTTTTGCTGGTAAGTACCGACTCCCAAGAGGGCAAGTCCATCCCAAGACAGCACACAGCCACAGAGCGCGGGTGCAGCAGGTACAGACAGACATAGCACGCTTGCTCTCAGGCTCTGAGTGTCCTGGGGTCACCATAACACAAGCCTGCCACAAGGTGGGAGGCCCAAACCCTGGGAACTGTTTCCTCCACAGTTCTGCAGGCCACAGTCTGAGGCCCGGGACCTGAGGCTGCAGGAGCTCTAGGGGAGGAACTTTCTAAGCATGGAGACACTGCACTCCAGCCTCTGCCTCCCTCCCCACATGGCACTGTGTGTGTGTGTGTGTGTGTGCGCGTGTGTGTTTTGTTTTCTGAAGCAGGGTCTCACGATGTAGCCCAGGCTGGCCTCCAACTTGTGATCCTCCTACGTTGGCTCTCTCGTCTCCAGATCTGAGATTACAGGAGTGCACACTACACCTGGCTCAGATCTCCATCTCCTTTTCCTTATACAGACACCACTGCTATATTTAGTACCCAGTAGCAGAATCAAGAGTGTGTGTGTGTGTGTGTGTGTGTGTGTGTGTGTGTGTGTGTGTGTGTGTGTGTGTGTTTTCTGGAAAGCCCTTCATGACTCGATTTCCATGTACGGTGAGCTCCACAGGCATTGGGGTTCAGGGATGGGCATGCCTCTGGGGGTCGCCCTCAGGCCCCCACCAGGTGGCCTCGGTGGGATCACGTGGTTCTTCCTTGGGCGTTGTGGGGCGAGTCCCCTTGGTGTGTCACAGTTTCCCTCCCGGCTTGCGGTTGCCAGGAGCGACTGGACTTGCTTCTGAGGATCTGAGCTGGCCTTTCCCGCTGCTGTCTGGGGAGGGCCACGGCTGCTGCTGGCCACGCCCTGGGTGGCGTGGGGGGCCGTCCCAGGGAGGTGGGTGCTCAGGGAGGCTGTGGGAGCGCCGGCAGGAGCTGAGGCCCAGGAGAGCCGCCGCCCTCCCCTCTGGAGGAACAGCCCATCCAGCAGGCTCTGCCCCCATCCCAGGCCCTGCTCCCCTCCTACCCTCCCCACCCATGGCCACTACCAGCTGGCCACTCCCTCCCTTGGAGGGTCCAGCTTGGCCGACATAACCCTCACACCCAGAGGAAGATGGGAAAGCAGGGCCCATGGTGGGCTGGGCCGTGGACTCTGGGCCTTGTGTTGCCGGTGGGCCCTGCTGTGGAGTCCAAATGCCCAGAGCCCCTCAGGGTCCCCGCGGGCCTCGCGGGCCCAGAGGCCGCTCCTCCACGCTGCTCCCTGGTCTTGCCCTGTTCTCCTCAGCGTGCAGCCACGTCTCCCAAGGCCAGGGTCCCAGATGGAAGAGGCAGCTGAGCGCAGGAGTCCAGCTGGC